TCATATTGTTGATTCCTTAACATTGAACTCATTGCCAACAGCACTCCTACTCCTGCCCAAACAAAGCTTATCTGTCTAGCACAAGTTGTCTCTGTAAGGCCGTCACAGCCTCTGTGCCTGTGAACACCGGGCTTTGCACTTTGGGGCTGATTTTAAATAGCAAAATCACCAATAATAAGCAGAAATGCAAAGACATGGTGGTAAACAGACCATTAAAAGGACATGTGTTTACAGTTTGGAGGCTGAAATGGAAGGTGGAGTGTCGGTTTGATCTGCCTCAGCTGGGAACTTGCACATAGGGCACCTCAGACCCACAGATGACTGCGAACACGCTGCCAGGTGTGGATTATGAAGTTACACTTACCTTTTAGCAAGTAGGTGAATTTGCAAATATAGATCCCTCAAAAAGAGAGGATCAACTCGTATTCCGTTTTGTCAATTTAAATGTGCAGGTACACAGTGATTTTCTACCACCCATTGACCATCGCCGCAGCCGTCTGTGGGGCTGTCAGTCTCCGGGGAGCCTGCTGGGTCTGTAACAGGAGGGAGGCTGGAGCTCAGGCGATGGATCCCCCAACCCCCCACGGGTGAGGCTGCTGGCCTCGCTCCTCTGTGTGCCTTTACTTTTCTCCTTGCCTAGGGCTCACCCTGGCAGCTGTATCAGGTTGTTTCTCTGGGATTCCAGGATTTAGAAGCCATGGCCCCCAAAAGCCCAAGTAAATAGGTTTTTTTCAGTTGTTATTATTGGGGTGGGGGATTGGAGAAGAGGAACTATCACCCCCACAGTGGGTGTGGCAGCAGGTGGGCCGAGGGCCAGCTGCCCCGGGAGGAGGATGAGAACCACAGTTAACCACCAGTCCAGTTCGAATTAGGCCTTACGAAGCAAATTATAGTGTTTAGAAAGGAATTTCTTCTCCGAGGAGTCTGGCTTTGGTTTGCTGCCTGCCCGGGGAGATTCTGCTGTGAAAACTCGGGGCACCAGTTACCCAGTGCACACTAAAGCCCGGTAGCCTCCCATGGGCCTCCTGCCTGCCTCAGCTCAGCTATGACTCAGTTTCCCCAGCTGCTGTGGGCAGCAGCTTCTGCTCCGCATGCAGCTGGGGTAGGGTCATGAGGAATGTTGTATTTGGAGGTTGAAGCCAGATGCCAGATTGGGCAGTAGCTTTACACACTTTAATCAGTACAGCCCTGTTGTGGTTTTCTTTTTCTTTTTAGGGCTCTTTTCTCCCCGGAACTTTTGAGAGGGGATACTTTGAAGGCAGTACTGCAGCCCGCTGGGCTTTTAAGTACAAACCGTAAGCTCATGACAGTAACTCCAGTTGTCAAAGGTTAGTAATAGCAAACAGTTATTGAAGACTTAATACTGCCAACCATTAAAATTTTTTAAACATTTATTTATTTTTAACAGAGAGAGAGAAACAGAGCTTGAGTGGGGAAGGGGCAGAGAGAGAGAGGGAGACACAGAATGTGAAGCAGCCTCCAGGCTCAGAGCTGTCAGCAGCCAGCCCGATGCAGGGCTTGAACTCACGAACCATGAGATTATGACCCGAGCTGAAGTCGGAAACTTAACTGACTGAGCCACCCAGGCGCCGCTGCCAGGCACTGTTCTAACCACTTTCTGTTATTTATCAGCTCATTTAATCCTTCCTTTCCACCCCAACAACCCTCCCAGGTAGGCACTATTATTCTACCCACTTGGCAGATAAGGACACTGAGGCAGAGAGTGTTAAGTAGGATGTAAGCCCACAGTTAACACAACTAGTAGACGGGGAACCAGCTCAGACAGGCAGCCTGTGCTCCCAGCCCCACACAATTCTGCTGAATTACAGGGAAGAGTCTTCACTTAACACCTCTGGTTTTTAGGATTCTAGACTCAGAGGTCAAGAGCAACGTGTAAACATTGTGCAGTGAGCTCCCAGAGGAGCTCTGCATCCACTGCCTCAGGGGACAATAGATCTGCCTGACAGGCCTCTGTCTTCACGGAATTGCACCCTTGGGAGGGCTGGAAATGGGCAAGAAATTGGCAGAAAGATCAGAGGTGCTCTGTGGACTGAGGTGCCAGGGAGAGCACCGGATGGAGCACAGTGATGGGGGCAGATGTTGGGTAGTTGGAGATAAATAGAAGTGTCTTTAGAGCAGGGGCATTGAGATGTGTCTGGAAGAGTGGTCTTGAGAATTAGTCCACATCCTTTCAGCCACCTACAGCCAGGGTTAGTCTGGACACTAGCCACGGCCATGGGCATTACAATCACATCTCTTGGGTGGAGTCCTTCCCTACCCTCTGGCCTTTATCCCTGCTTGCTTTCCCCTCAGGGGACCCAGAAGTGTGAGTGAGGGGTCGATTGTCTGGTGAGGGGGTGGGTTCTAGATTTGTCGCTGCGGATGTGGGCAGCATAGTCAGTTTAGGCCTGTGCACACACTCCGGGCCTTGACGCTCGGGGTGCTGAGTGCCTTCCCTTGGCCTGGTCGCTAGCGTGGGAGGGCCTTGATGCTTTCGCCTTCCTGTAGTTAAAAGGGGAAAGGTCACCGTGGAACACTCAGCAGTAAAAACACATTTTGGGATAGTCTTTGAATTTAGGCTTGCATTTAAGTTCTTTGTGGCTCGCCTGCCTTTTTGGTTTTGTTTTTTAAAACATTGTGATTCAGACCACTGAGTCCGCTGTGAAGCTTGACCGGCCCAGAGTAAAGTCACAGCGACCGTGTGAGAGGCACGCACAGGCCCAGCCCCTGGAAGCATGAGCTGTGTCTGCGTTGGAGGTCCTGCGTTGGGCCAGGGCACTGCCCCACCTGCATCCGGGGACCTCTTGGGGGGCACTCAGTTGGAAGAAGGGGGAATATTAGCCTCACTTCACTGGACTTTGCAAAGCAGTACCTTACTTTGTTTTATAGTCAGGCTATTCCCCCCCCTCCCATAAGCCCCATCTCTGCTGCTCACCTCTACCTTCCAGGAGAGAGAAAGCCCAATTCTTTACTCCTCAGAAAAACCAGAAAGTGTTGTAATAAAGTCATAACAGATCCCATGGCTCTTTAGGGTCGTGAGTTTACAGGCAATTGGTGCTAGCATTCTGGTGTGATTTATTCTTCAGCTTCTCTGCAATTCTGCTGCAGGGGGAAAGAGAGTATTAATAACCTGTCATGCAAAAATTTGGCAGTGCTATAAAGATAATCCTTTACTATGTGTTTTTCTTCACTGACCTCTGCTGCTGAAGTAAATGAGTAACGTAAAGTCTCCATTCTTTAACACTGAAATGTTACTGTTAATTTGATTTTCTCTCTCTCTTTTGTCTTCATGTGAGAATAAAGCTAGTTAAAAATAACCGTGACAATTGTCTACATATCAGTTCACCAGCCCCTGCAAAGAAATATACAGATCCTGTGATGGGTGGATCTGCCCTACATTTGGCTCTGGGGAAGAAATGAGGGGGCCAGCTTTTTAAGTTTTTCTTTTTTTAATGTTTATTTGGTTTTGAGAGAGAGAGAGAGAGGAGAGAGCAGGGGAGGGGCAGAGAGAGAGAGAGGGAGACACAGAATCTGAAGCAAGCTCCAGGTTCCAGGCTCTAAGCTATCAGCACAGAGCCTGACATGGGGCTTGAACTCACAAACTGCGAGATCATGACCTGAGCCAAAGTCAGACGCTTAACCAACTGAGCCGCCCAGGCGCCACTCTTATTGTACTCTTTTATATATAGGTAGGAGGCTCTGGTTACATGCTGTGGCATAGAATGTACCGATAGGATGCTTTCCTCTGCAAGAAATTGAAAACCCAGATCAAACTGGCTTTAGCAGTAAAGGGAATTTATTGGCTTCTGTTGCTGAAATATCCAAAGGCAGATGGCTTTCAGGCTAGGGTTGATCCAGTCATTTCACAGCGTTACCACAAACCTGGTTTCTTTTCTTCTACTGGCTCTGCCTCTGCAATAGTTGGCTTTAAACCAACTATTCCTCCTAGTCCCAAGATGGCTGGAACCGGTGTTTGGGGTCATATAGTTAAGTGTTAACATCCAGAAGACAGTCTCGGAAAAGTCTTTGTCTCTGTATCCTCCAAAAGGTCTTACTTAGGTCATGTGCCTGTCAGTGGGGCCAGGAAGATACACTGATTGGCTTAGCCTGGGTCACACTATGCATATCTATATATGGCCTGTAGAGTCAGGTTCCCTGGAAGTGCAGGGTCCCTGGTTACAGATATTTTGGGGAAAGGAGACAAGGGAGTGATGCTGGAGAAGTGACTGACAAATGTCAAGTATATATGGCTTATCAATCCCTGGAGTGTGAACAAAATACATAGCTTTTGTTGTTGTTCTGGTTGCTTCAACTGATAAATACTGGCCCTAGAAATATGTCATTGAAAGCAGGGCCCTATGTATTTTTCTATCAGTTCCCCTCTCTTGATCTCTTGTTTTCCTAGACATACAGGCAAAGGCTTGTCAGAATGAAGTGGGATTGGGGAGCTCTTTCATGCTATCCCAGAATCTGAACTGGGAGCGAGGGAGGACACACAGAAGTGGAGGCATTCCTAATCCATTCAATGAAATGTAATTCAAGAAAAGATTCTGTATTGCTTGCAACATTATTCATAAACAGGTTTAAAAAAATATTTTAATGTTTATTTTTAAGAGAGAGAGAGAGAAAGAGACAGAGCGTGAGTGGGGGAGGGTCAGAGAGAGAGGGAGACACAGAATCCAAAGCAGGCTCCAGGCTCTGAACTAGCTGTCAGCACAGAGCCCGATGCAGAGCTTGAACCGACAGACTTTAGGATCATGACCTGAGCCGAAGTCGGACGTCCAACCGACTGAGCCACGCAGGTGTCCCGTAAAGAAACAGGCTTAATGAAACTGAAATGTCTTAAGAAATATGCCTGCTTGTTTGTGAATTTCCCACACTGCGGACTTTCCTACTGGCACTTCCACAGCCCGTCCTCCCCATGCCACATCCTCGCTCAAGTCCCCTTTTGCAAGCCAGCAGTGGAGAAACGACCTGTAACTGTCCCCTTCTGTCTCCAGCGGGCAGTTTGCAGTCGTGAAGAAATGCCGGGAGAAAAGCACCGGTCTACAGTATGCCGCCAAGTTTATCAAGAAGAGGAGGGCGAAGTCCAGCCGGCGGGGTGTGAGCCGCGAGGACATCGAGCGGGAGGTCAGCATCCTGAAGGAGATCCAGCACCCCAACGTCATCACCCTCCATGAGGTGTATGAGAACAAGACGGACGTCATCCTGATTCTAGAACTGTGAGTGCCGCCTTCGTGGCTGTGGCTGGGCCCAGGAGGCGTGGGAAGCGTGGGGTGGGGCTCGGGCGGGTGGAGGTCTGCCCCAGGCTTCCCTGCAGCCGGACAGCTGGGAGCCCACCCTGGAGCCTCATGAGGAATTAACTCCACTTTGCCCTGTTCGAGAACAATTGTGGGCCGCCTGCCCTGAGACAGTTTTCTAGAATGATTCTGAGGAGCAGCTTCCGTGAATCTGGCCCTGGCCGACTTGCAAGGAGGCCCCCAAATCTTGGGGCTCCTCTTCCTTTGTCATGAGGCCATCTGTCTGCTGAGTTTTGGGATAAACTTGACGCTCATGTTCTTTTTCTCCTCTTGCTGTTCCTCTGCCTTCCCTCCGTTTTTCTACTTCTCTTCCACCTCCCCAAATTTTAATCCCCCACCCCCATTTTCACCTATTGGAATTGTCAACACTAATTATATGAAAGGGTAAAATTGAACCAGAATCACCCAGAGGCGATCATAGGACTTGTTTTTATTTTTTAAAAATTTTATTATTTTTAAAATATAATTTATAAGACTTGTTTTTAAAGCACTTTGCTTATTTTCTCAGGCAGGCCCTGCCCCTAGGATGTTATTGTGGGAAATTGATCACAGTGTGTTGTTCTGTGTTGTGTCTGTCTGTTTCTGAGCCTCTGCTTGAGGGCCCCACTCCTCTCCTTGTGAAGAGATAGGCTGGGGCGGCGGGGAAGAAGCTCTTCAAAGAGCCTGGCTGGGAATGTCTCGTGTCTCTGGGCTGCTCCCATGGAGGTGAGGGCAGGAGCCATGGATGGAGCAGAAGCCAAGGTGACCAACAGTCCTGGGTGGTTCTCAGTGATGACAGGCCCCACTCGTTTCCTGGGGCTGCCAGAATTCACATCTGCCCTCGACCAGCCAAATCGCTCCCCTTGTTTGCAGACTAGTTAAGGCCAGGAGGCGATTTCTGAGACCTGAAGGGATGGAGGGAAAGAGGTTGATGGAGGGCCCAGTCCAGCCCTGAGGGCATCAATCACACTCCAGGCCCCCTGGACTTTGCCATCAAAGGGGCCTGGGGCTGCCCACAGACTCTCATCTGTCTCTGGTGTGGGGGCACTTTTTTAAGGGGGTCTGAGCAGCAACTTTCTTAACTAGAAACTGGGGTTAATATTAGATATCTCAGCAGGGTCTAGAGGAAATATGTTATTAAGAATTTTACAGTACCTGATGCAGATCTGATTCATGGGTACTTTTCCTTCCTTCCTTTCAGCCGGAATGTTCCCAGCCTCGGCCCTAGAGACATTTGGGGCTGGATAATTCTGTTTCAGGGGCTGTCCTGTGCACCGTGAGATGTTTAGTAGCATCTCTGGCCTCTACTCACTAGATGCCAGTAGCACCCTGCCCACTGTCTGTGACAACTAAACCCCCCTGTAGACAATGCCACATGTTTCCTAGGGGACAAAATATCCCCCTTCTCCCCAAGGAGAACCCCTGCTTTAAGGAAGAGCAGGGCCTTAAGAGCACAGGATTAAGGGGCTTTACTGGGGTACAGCAGAGAAAAGAGAGGAGTCAGCATAATCCTCACTGTGGTTTTATGTAGTGACTCTCACAAACCAGACAGAACTAAGATCAAAATCCAGGCCAGTCCTTGACCATCCATAAGCCTGCATTTCCTCTCCTGAGGCTGAATATAAAAGACTATGAATATAAAATTCCTGGGAGGAGAAAGTTACAAATCACAGCTGTTTTGCCTATTCAGAGAATTATGAGGTTGTGCGCAGTGACTCAGGAATGTCTCTTATCATCTTTATACATGGAACTGTTGGGTGATGCCTGAGCCCTTCTGGCTCCTGCCTACCCGTGCGTGTTCTGGATTTAGCTTCTGTTGCTTGACCCCATCAGGGTCATTTATCCTATGTATAAAATATAAGGTGTTTTTGTTTTTTTTTTTACCATTTGATTTTCACAATTTAAAAAATTTCATATGGTAAATTTGATATTGGGAGACAGTTGTGGAAGTTAATGAATGTTTAGATTTGTATAACCACCACCCAAGTCAGGATTCAAAACAATCCCATTACCTCCTTTAAAACACACACACACACACACACACACGCACGCACGCACACACACACACACACACCCCTCCGCTCCAGGCCACCATTGAGCTGTTCTGTCTTCTCAAACATATCCTATAAATAGAATTAGACAATATTCAGTCTTCTGAGACTGGCATCTTTCACTCAGCACATTACTTTTCAGATTCATACATGAGTGGTTTGCTCCTTTTTGTTGCTGAGTGGTATTCGGCTGCATGGATGCTTGTCTGTCCACGTATCCCCGGAAGAACATTTGGGTTGTTGATAGTATTTGATGATTGTGAACAAATCTGCTATAAACATTCACTTGCAGGCTTTTGTACGAACTTAAGTTTTCATTTCTTCTGGGTAAATACCCATGAGTGTGATTGCTGTGTCACACAAAAGTGCGTGTTTAACTTTGTAAGAAAGTGCTGAGCTGTTTCCTGAAGTGGCTGCACCAGATAGCAGTGCCTTCAGCAAAGGAGGAAAGTTCCAGTTGCTCCACCCACACTGGCAAATGTCAGTGACGTTTATGTGTCAGTTGGGGTGTCGGGGAGACATTTGACCCAATATTATCCTGGGTTGTGCCTGTGAGGGTGTTGCTGGATGAGATTAGCGTTTGAATCAGTAAACTGAATAAAACATCACCTTCACCTGGGTGGGGGGGCCTCATCTAATCAGTTGAGGGCCTCAATAGAACAAAACAGAACCTTACCCCGAATAAGAAGGAATTCCTCTTACCTGATGGCCTTGGAGCCTAGGACGTTAGCTTTATCCTACCTTAGGACTGTATTCACCTGTTGCTGTCCTGGGTCTCTAGCTGGGTCCAGCCCAGTCACCCTGCAGATCTGGAGCCTTGTCAGTCTCCATGATTATGTGAGCCAATTCCTTAGAATAAATCCCTTCTCTCTCCATGTACATATATGTACCTCCTGCTGGTTCTGTTTCTCTGGAAATCCCTGACTGACACAGTCAGAGGAAAAGCATAGCCCTTGTTTAAATATCATAAGCCTGTCCCATTTGTATATTTACTTTGCCGTGAAGAAGTATTATAATTTTTAATAAATTATTCAAAATATTAGGTCCACCTGGAAGACACAGTCATCTTTGTCTTTGAGGAAATTGTCATTGTTCAAAATTCTAATAGCTTTAAGGGAAGATTATCCATCAGTGACATGTCTCATCTCTTCTTTCTTAAGAATGCTGAGGTGTAGGGTGGCTCAGGAGAGAATCAAATTTAAGGATTTGTGAGAAAATAGCCCATGACATGATCGTGGCTATTTGTCTGAATCCTCTGGTTCAGTAATCTTTCAGTGAATGTATTCATTGGATTTATTGCTTTGGGATGATCTCTCTGGTAAGTAGCACTTCCTTCAGGCTTTCTTTGAAGCTTGTTCGCTCCTTGAAAACTTGTCCCTGACTCACTTGTATGTGTGACTTGTCACTTGTACACTCCAGACCCATCCGTACAGCTAAGATGAAGAGACCCCAAACTACCACTCTGTTCCTCTTTTCGCAAACTGCCTCCCATGACCTGAGTGAGGTACAGAAGTGGCATCTTTTCCTTCATTGTAAAGAAACTATTTGGTGTCTGTGTTAAATCCTAGTCCAGGATCAATGTTAAATCCATTGTTAAATCCTAGTCCAGGATTTGCCCCTCAAGAATTTTGTAGACCATGGGGTGTCTGGGTGGCTCAGTGGATTGAGCATCCAACTCTTGGTTTCAGCTCAAGTCATGATCCCAGGGTCATGGGATTGGGCCCTGCGTCAGGCACCATCCACATTGAGAGTGGAACCTGCTTGAGATTCTCAATATCTCTCTCTCCTCTTCTGCACCTCCCCCCCCATATATTTATATAAAAGAATTTTGTAAGCCTTGAAAGTAGCTTTAAAGAATGACTCCCTCAGTTGTTCTACTGAGGAAGAATCATTTGTTTCATAGCTGATTTATTCAGCACAGCATGCACACAAAGGAGGCGTAAGTGATGTCTCATCCAGATTTCATGTCCTCCATGTTCTACTGTCCCCTAATGAAGCCATGCCAATACGAAGCTTTCTTCTTGTTGTGCTATTACTCAGTCTGCACTGTTGCATGGGCAAGCCACTATAAAACTTTGATCGTCAGATTTGAGTTACTTCATAACTTCTGTTACCTGTAGAAAGGGAAGTTGAGCTCTCAGAACCTAAAGTCGGTCCTGATCAGAGCCACCAGCTCCTAGAATTTAATTCCTAGGGGCGCCTGGGTGGCTCAGTTAGCTAAGCGTCCGACTTTGGCTCAGGTCATGATCTCACAGTTTGTGGGTTCGAGCCCCCTGTTGGGCTCCTTGATGACTGCCAGCTCAGAGCCTGGAGCCTGCTTCTGATTCTGTGTCTCCCTCTCTCTCTGACCCTCTCCTGCTTATGCTGTCTGTCTGTCTCAAAAAAATAAATAAAACATTTAAAAAATTATTTTAAAAAATTAGAATTTCATTCCTAAACTTACTGCATAGAAACAGTGAAGTATTTCAAGCTGTGGATGGTGATACATTTTTCTTTCTAACTCTCCTCCATTCAGATATTGTTCAAGCCCAACTGCAGAGGTCAGAGAGGTGAGATACATGAGCAGGTATCATCTGCAGGAAGCCTTGGGGTTGGGCAGACATCGGGAATAGTGGGGACTGTGGTTCAGCCAGATTTGGATCTTGTGTTACCAAATCTTGCAACCTTTTTTTTTTTTTTCAAGGAAAGTCTGTACCTTAGGCTTTTAATGCTGGCAGTTCATAGTAGTCATGAACAATAAATAAATAAATAAAACCTGTCTGAGGGCCACATGTGACTTGCACAGACCTGAGACTCCAGTCTGTTTTATCATAGCACTAAGTAAGTATTAGTTGATCACCGCTGTGGAAGAAGTGTGTGATATAGTCAGAGACAGCCCAGAAAGGGCAAGAT